TGGAACTTCAAATAAAAAGCCAAAAGTGGACAATTATAAAAATTATCCATCCAGAGGATGTGCCCTTGACCTAACAATGGTTGGACGAGCTTCAGAACGATAGCTGACGTCTTTGGTGTATCTACAGTCGCAAGCTCAGACTCCATTTCCGTATCTTTACCAAGGTATACAATGAACTTCCACAGATATCCTGTCTCAGACTCACACGATTCATAAATTTTGATCCCAAATTTAACAGCTTTCAGTGGTAAATATTGTTTGAAGGAAAGGCGTTCTTTCCACAATGACAACGACTCGTCGATAGCGATGTTTTGGTCTGGACGATACAGAGCACTGAATTTTTCTTCCAGATGATTTAAAATGGAATGAATTTTGAAGAGTGGAGGTGGCCCTTTGTACGTTGACAGTGTAGCATTATCCACGAAATGTAAATGACGACAGATTTCTTCAAACCTATCTCTTGAAATGATATCATTGAAGATTGGGGTGGATACCAGCCTCCTCGTAGAAAAATACATTTTTATTGAAGGTTTCTGGATGATTCCCATTAACATAAAAACCGCCAAAATTACATACAATTCTTCTTCGGTGACAGATTTCCACTCTTTTTGATGACTCTTGAAAACCTTATTCAATAATGCATTTTTTTTTGCCACGGTCTGTTGAGCATATTTATTTGTCTCCTGGACAATCAGAGTCATCAGGTCACGTGAAAAAAAACATTCAAAAGTTTCTAGAATACTTTTAGCAGTTTTTGCCTCCCCTTGAGGTCCGAGATGCCCTTTGAAATGTTCTTTCTTCCCGTCATAATCATTCATCGACGTCCAATGAAACTGATGTTCATCGGCTATTCTCCAGTCTTTAGAAAGTGTCGCCACATCTTCTTCATGCTCATCCTAAGCAAAGTTCATGCCAAGGGAAAAAAAGAACCCTTTACCATTGAGCATACAGGAAAAAAACACCGGAAAATTGAGATAAACCCAAACGTATGCGATAAAAAAGAAGAAAAAAACCCCAAGTATGCCATCAGTACGATTTTCATCAATTACCTCGCTGGAGTCCGGTTCATCACTGCTGTCGGCATAACCGTTATCTGAATCAGAATCCTGGAGCTCTGATCTTTCTAGAAGTCTTTGTATTTCGTCAGTATCACGCACTTTTCTAGCCATTTTTATATAAATAAGAACGTAAACACAGAGAGAACATGGAAGGTACGGGCCCACTGCAGCGACTCTCTTGGCACGCGGCTGTGCCACGAGGTACACAGACAGGCACACACACGCACGGCGACCCACACTCTGCTGTTGAGGCGGAGCGTACAATTGCTTTTTATTTATTAGTCGTTTTTACTCAATTGGCAATATTTTTTCTCTGTTTAATAACAGAATTATCCTATTAATATTTTTCCGGAATTTTTGAGACCAGTTTCGATCTGATCGTACAAATAGTTGCCGAGATCATCCGTTGTTGGAAATTTATTAATAACAAATCAATTATTTATCAAATCGAAATTTCGTTTGCGCTATTCGATAGAGGAACCGTCAGAGTGTACCTGGTGAAAATTGCAGAATTTTCAATAAAAATTTCCTCGATAAACGAGAGGTTTGGATGAAATGAACATCGAATTCCGATCCGTAATGTTTATATATTTAAAAATAATATTGAAAATACCTTGGAAAAAAAATCAAGTTGCATTGTGTAGGGAATTTTATGCAGTTCATAGGATAGTTCTCAGAATTCCGATATCTTCAATAGGACCAGAGGAAATGATTTTTTACCATTCGCAGAAAGGGTCTATATGACATAGGGACCCCGGCCGATAGGACAGGCTGGCGGGTCTATATGTGGTATGGACCCCGTACTTGAGGGGTTAGTCAATATCTCCAAAACTATTGGACCGATTTGATTTTTTTTTTTCAAAATATTCATCTCCATGTCTTCTATTTAGATCAATCGAAATATGTATACCCGTTCATACAAAGTTTTCGAGATACTCTCCATTTTCTATTTTTTCCTCAAATTGTTTGTTCGCACGATAACTCGAGAAAAAATTGAGATAGGGGGCTGAAATTTGGTATGATTGTAGCTCTTATAATACCAAAGGTTCGTATTGTTCCTGGGCGATATCAGTTCGGTAGTTCCTGAGATACTCAACTTTGTGTGTAAAATTACTTCATTAATTTTCGACATATTCCTAATTTTTCTTTTTTCACCTTAACTGATTGTACTGACGATAATTTGTACTAATTATATTCATTCCTTCTTGTTCGTTTTTTAAATGTTTTCATTCTTGTACGTACGATGTACCTGTCACAAGAACAGGGAATTGCTACGGATCCATTCGGAAGCTCACTACCAATGGAATTGGTAGAAATAAAAAAAAGGAAAGGACTAATAACGCAAAAAGTAACGGTCACATGCCTTCTGTCGGATGGGCTCGAACCCCTGCTTGTTTTTCTATATAATATCGTCTAACAGATCACATTCGGAGGAAAACGAATTTTCAAATAAAAAAAGAGAAACTGCTATCTAAGAAAATTTACAATCATCGTTATGAGAAGTAGTCTAATTTTTTAGGAATCAGAGAATTTCTTGTCTACTGCATATATTTTATCTTTAAATATTACGAATTTTTGTATAATCATCATAATTCGATTTTTGTCTCCCGCGTGAGGGGCGCGTGTCTGATCACATCAGTCTCTCACATTGTCCGGACCGGTGAGTTCTTCCTAGTGGGCTCCGAAAAGTATAGAAAAGAAAATTAGTTTTAATTCATGAAGGAAAATTGTTTGAGGGATCGAAATTTTTTCAACAGTCAAACAATCATGAGGGTTAACGGAAAGAGGTAAGCACGATAATCACAAGGATCGATTGATCATAAATCGAGTGAAATAATTCAGAGTTTCGCCCGTTTTACCTCACGAAGGTCACACTTTTCGAGGATCAAACGGTGGAAGAATCAAGCAGGAAGGATAATTACAAAGGTCGAACGATTACAAATTGAGCGAAATGTTGATTATATTCTTAATAAAAAGTCTTCGAAACAATATTGACTGTCCTGAATTGCTGGGTTGCTTGAATTTGAAATTTTCGCGTTCAGTCACTCGCTCTAAATAAAAAACGTATCTTCCCAAGCCAAAGAATAACTTGGCTCTATCCTCTCCAATGCATCAGGCAGGTATTGCTTTGAATTTGTTATTGAGTTTGTACCCCGATGTTGATATATTTTCAACGATTCTATGAACTCTCTAGTAAATAAGGCGTATGTTACGGTAAAAACCTATTATTAATGTTAATTTTATAATGATCATCTCCACATTTCTATATTTATTATCTTCATATTCTCCCCTGCTGCTGAACACTTGTAATACCATTTATTATATTATATCTTACATTTACTACCTAATGTGAATATTTAATCGCAATGCGTTTGATATTTCCATACTATTTATAAATCTTGTAATTGACCTCGGTTTTCTTGACTTGAATAAACTATAAATAAAAAATAAATGAAAATAATCTGAAGGCCTCCTATTTAATCTCTCTGTTTGACTCTTGCGATTGTTCTGCATGCTTTCCTGCTATACCCATCGAATCAGTGTGACAAATGAGCACAAAATAGAAAGTAAAGTAAAATGTAAGACAGCCCATGATAACGCAAATATGGAGGAAAGTATATAAAAGTCTGAATGGCCAGACATTTTAGAATAAAAAATTATACAAAAATTTGATCCAAGTTGGCGGCAAAGACTTGAAATTAGTAGATTCTCGATTTTATTGAATTCTACTATTATCAAGTCGGGAGTTCTGAGTTGAATCATATTTTTTTTGTGTTCCTTCCTAATAGTTCTAATCTCGTGAACTTTTCACAATTGATCAAGCTCTCATATATAATACTACTCATTGCACACCATTGTAGGATACGGAAAATTAAAAGTATATTTATTTAAAGTACTCTCGATTTTCCTGCCGGGCAATAAAATAGTTATTTTTGTTTAGTGTTGGATTCCTTATGTTTAAAGTGTTTAACACATCTGCCAATTAAAGGCACTGAAGATGTGTAATTAAATTCGAAAATACTCATTAATCGAATTTAATTGACTTCAGAGACGACTGTTTATTATTTCAATTTGGTGTAATAATTTTATTTCGATCATGAAAGATTCAAATTCGTTTTGACAATTTTGTTTTTCCAGAATACATGAACTTAATTTGATTAATAGGCATTTAAAAAAACGTTTTAATTCAGTGAGAGAGAGATGTTAGATTTTTTTTTTCATTTTTTTTAGAAAGCCAGTTTAACATGATTTCTAGTTACTCACTCTTGTGTCGATCTATTTTCCGAGTGTCCAATCACCTTTTTTTTATTAAAGAATGTGCGTAATTTAATATTATGAGTTTTGTTGCTATTGCATGAACTGTATAGTTAATAGTAGTTTATTAAAAACACTTGAAACTTTCCACAAAACCGGAACAAGTAATTTTTCACCTTGTCAGCCGACCTCGCGAAAAGCCTTTTTTTTAATTTCAGTTTTTATGCGCGGGATTGATCACTACGAAGGTTGGCGTAATTGTGATCAAAGCGATCTCGGTACTCGGACTACTAAGATAAACGCCGGGCAGGAGAATTAACTGATTCCCGAATCAGGTATATAATAGTCACGAGGAGTTCGCCCTTTGGTACGCTCCGTGTAGATGCTAGGACAAGCTTGACTTTTTGATTTTGAACAGATTGGTAAATGCACCTTCGGTCAATGCCCGAGCGCAGGCGGTACAATGCTGATTTTGCATCATTTCGCAATTACTGCCTGTTTCGGCGCATTCCGTGGATGAACCCGTGCCTGATGTTGGCAAATCGAAGCGTTTTATCGCTTCAATTTGCCCAATATTCTTCACGAATTTTATTCGATCAATTTCTTTTTATTTAAAATTTAATTGAATATTCCCAAACACAAAACCATAGACACTTTGAGTGATTAATCAAAATTTGTACTACTCACATCATCCCAGCTTTCTCCATAAGTAGACGATTCTTCATGGACTTTTACCACATCTTGCAATGTAATAATGCCTTCCCATTGCTTTTGATCAGCCTCATCTGATTCATATCGGAACTCTTGCATCTCGCGGCGGTCAAGGCATGTGAGATGATGGATCTGAAAGAATGAATGTAAAAAGCGGATGTAGTTAGCGTGCAACTGGCATTGGTTAGTTGAAGTCGCGGTGTGACCCATTCCGGATTGAACGAATAACTTTCCGACTAATTCCCTTTTTTTTTAGAAAAAAAGATTTGTGGATAAATTGCTCTATGCCCAGATGTACTGAATCGATTGACACAAAATTTTATACATAGCTGTGGGCTCATAATACAAATTAGTACCCAGAATCTCAGATGTCTAGACCAAGCTTGACGCGTATTATGGACACCACATTAACTTTAAAATGAAAAAATTAGAAAAACGCTGATATCTCGAAAACTTTGTATGGGCGGGTATACATATTTTGATTGATCTCGATAAAAGATATCGTGACGAATATTTTGAAAAAAAAAAGTGAATCGGCCCAGTAGTTTAGGAGATATTAAGCATGACAGTTTTTAACAAAAAGTTGAATATCTTCTAAACTACTTATCCGATTCAGTTCGTGAACAATACAGTACTACCATACTCAATTCTGTAGTATCATAAGAGCTACAATCGTACCAAATTTCAACTTCCTATCTTGAATATTCCGCGAGTTATCGTTTCCACAACGATTTTCTAGTCAAAATGAAAAATGCCGATTATTACTAAACTGACCCTAGTTAAGTAGCAATATTTTGATTTGATTCGATAGATATTATTGTAAGGAATACTTTCCCGTCAAAAAAATTCAATTCGGTCACGTAGTTTATGAGATATTAAAGAAAAAAGATTTTTGAGAAATTGCTTTATCTCCGAAATTACTGGATCGATCAAGCTGAACTTGCGCCACAAAATTTCAGATTTTTAGCTCAAGCTTTAATCCTTTTTTCGGGGGGATTTATAAAAAATTTCCGAACAATCGGCATACACATTCTGACATACACACATATATTTTCTAAAAACATCATATTTTCACGTTTCATGACATTCTACATCATTTCCAAGCAAAATTACGAGATCGTAAAAATCATCGATTACACGGCTTCCATTCGAAAGCAATAACCGCACTGAATTTCGCTGAGGGCAGATTTACCATGCCATCTGGCTGGACCATACTAATCTGGTAATTGTATTCCTAATTTAGGTGTATGTACTGTATATTTGCAATGGGTGATATTTAATAATACCGAATTAGAAATATTGGATGTTACCGACTTGGCAATCTTTCTTCCAATAACTCTATTTATGCCACTCATGCCTGAAACCGGCTGGATTACACACTCGACGCTTCGCGTCTCGTGTCTAATTCAGCCGGTTTCAGGCTTCGTGACATAAAATTTTGTTCAGTACTTGTTGGGAAATTCCATCCTTAACGTGTGTGGTTACATCACTCGCCTTCGGCTCATGCTGTAAACCCCACACACGTTAAAGACGATATTGCCCCACACGTGCTGAAATATACTATTTTTCCCATATTTTAGGTATTTTTCCTAAGTATAGCTTGCTTATCGTTGACTCATTTAGAGAATTCATTTATTTTTGATCTTTCGAGGAACCTCAAATTCCCTTTAACCGTCTCTCTATTGGTCTGCTTATTCTACTTCATGTGTTGAATTTATTGGTCAGCATTTAAACCATTTTGAAGCCAAGCATTTTCCCGGTTCTTTCCAATGTGTAGTGGTGTGCGCGCCCCACTATGCTTTTCTAATGGAGCACCAACACACTGGGGCGTCCCCTACTCTCTTCACACCGATACTTTTTGTGATCTTGGCACTGGCGTAAGTTAATTTTTGCTGAATTTCGGGATTTAAATGACAGAAAGATGACTCTGATACATTTTTTAGCACGGTTTTTTAAGACTATCATACAAATTAGTCTTCTCGGTATAGTGTTTTATTGAAAATTCACAAATTCTACTGCTTCAGTGAAAAATACGGAAGTTACGATAAGATAATATTAATTTGAATAGAGGGAAAAATTCAATTGTTGCGTTACATTTTTAATAGATTCTAAATAAAAATTACTGAGATGAAATTTTGGCACACTATTATGTGACTTTCTCAATAATATTTCTTAACCGTACAGGGACAGAGGGAGAGGTTGAGATAGAACTTTTTGAGCTGAATTTCGGGTCAATTCACAAACCTGAGGCTATAGATCAGTTTATGACGATCAATCGACGCAGTCTCAAACTATAATTGGCCTACAATATATCGTCTATTTCGAGGAAAGGGATTACGAGCGAATGTAGGATATAGCAATCATGGGAAACTCTACATATAAAGCATATTTTATAGCCCTATTGAACCGAAAGGTACAATAAAAACGTTGAGACAGGGCAGGTCAATGAGTATAGAAAATCAAAAAGTATATTATAAATACATTTTCACTTTTAGGATCCCTTGCAATAGGGAGTTTATGGGTAATTTCAATGCAAACACTAGAGCAATGATCCTGTTTGCTCAAAGAGCAAGAGTCGTTTTATTTCCCTTTGTATGACATTCAACAGACGGTCCCGGGATGAAAAATTTGAGTCTTTTTGGGGTCTGCAAGACTCGCGTCTGCGTCTATGAGAGAGTATGGCTCAGCGCTAGTAGCCATACTTTTGAGAGACTCTGCGTGGGAGACGCAGCAAGACTGCCGAGAGACTGCTACCAAGCGTCTCTCGGCGAGAGGCTCCGCGTCTCTTACGTATCTCAATAATTAATTAATCACTAATAACTCCTTCAATTTCATTATTGGAAAATAATTGAAAATATTAATGTAGTTAATTCACAAATTGAACAATAATTGAACAATATTGAATTATAAAACAAAAAAAAAAGAAATCGGTTTAGCGGTTCTCCAGATGTTCCCTCCCGGTCGATCCGCCGTGTTCCCTTTCGGTCACCCATCCTTTTACTAACCCAACTCGCTACTGCTTAGCTTCAGTGATCGCAGGTTACCCCGGTATCTTCTGCGCTATACAGCTGCTTGTGGCGAGTCAAATTTTTTTTCGCTTGATATACGCAATTATTGAGAGAGAGGAGATTGGAAACGCTAAATATCAAAACGCCACCTATGAATGGCGGATATTGGGCTGCACACAGACAGTATTCAACCGAATTTGGGCTTGTGTTAGCGCGTATATGGGAACCCTAAAATCGTCCATATTGGTGAAAACGAGCGCCGCCATCGGTAATTAGCGGTCCCAATAGGGAAAGCATTGACGAAGGTGAACAGTGGGATAATATGGGATAACGGAGAGGGGTGCATGAAAAGGGAAACTGGAATTAAATGGGGCAAAATGGGATACTGGGGTGGAGTGAACCAACTGGACAGCGGGGTAAAATGGAAAGCAGTTGTGCCATTTACTCGTGAGGTAAAACGGGAAAGCAGGTTAGTTAGAGTGGGGCAAAATGGGATAGCGGTTAAATGAACCCATAAAGTAAGCCGGAACGATGAGTTACTCCGACAGTGGGGTAAAATGGGATAACGGGGTGACTTGGAGTAGGGGTTGAATCCGAAAGCGAATTAATTTAATTTTTCAATTTTTGTACTTTTTCAATTTACTTTTCTAATTTTTTTATTTATGGTTGGGTAAATTGAATGATGGAATGAAATTAGATGGTCGAGTGTAGAATTGAATTTCCGAGTAAACAGGACGAGAATGCTATTCACTGCTCAGATTGTGGGGTAAAATGGGGTGAACTAAATGACAGGCTAATTAGCCGGAGGGGTAAATTGGGCGGCAGGTAAATTAAATACGGGTGTTTAGTGGGATGATCGGGTAAAATCGATAGCGGGGTAAAATGGGTGAGTCTGGCTAATATGAGGGTGGGGTAAAACAGGACGGTGGGGTACAATGAAACAGCCTGGCAAATTGTACGATAGTCAAATTTGACCGGCGACGAAATAGGACAACAAGGTGAATTGATAATGGGATAAAGGAGTAAGACAGAATAAGGGTTTAAAGCGGATCCGCCTCAACCCGTTATTCCATCTTATCCCGCTATCCCATTTTACCCCATAGGCAGGTTAGTGCGCCGACCAATTCACTTTGTTGTCCTATTTCACCGCCCCCCCGGCCCAAATTCACTCATGGTCCAGGCTGTTCCATTCTACCTCACCTTCCCGTTTTACCCCACTAGCTAATTAGCCTGTCATTTAGTTCACCACTCATCCCATTTTACCCCACGATATAATTCGTCCATCACCCGCGATCACCAGATTATCTTATCTTGCTCCGTCGTCCAATTTATTATCCCCCCCCATCCATCCTTTGTACTATATTATACTTGCTCCAGTGTCTATTTAATTAACAATTAATGAATCAATAATTAATTTTAGCGAGATCCTGATTATCAGTCCCGAAAATTCTAAGTCCCTATCTTTCAATGAGAGACTCTAGTCTCTACCGTGTTGGCGAAGATTCAGATAGACTCGAGTCTCTCACCAAAGACTCTCCGAGACGCGAAATCGATTACGGAAGACCCAGGCAGACTGATTTTAGTCTTTCACAGTCTTGGAGAGATCCAATAGACTAAAAATTTTTACCCCGGGGTACACGGAGAAAATCCAAACAGGTAGAAGAAAAGGGATCGCCTGAATAAGGAATGAACCAATGAATAAGTAATGGTTTTACATTGGGCAGGTAATCGTGTTATCAAAATATCGATATTATTCTTCTTTCTACTCAAAAGTGACCGTTTTACATGTAGACAACAAAACATTTTTATTTGCTCCTCGCCGGGCTTGCATCCGTCACTCTAAAAACTTCATGATTCAGGTCATAAACTCTGACTTAACGTGAGTGGGATTGTATTAGGTCCGTGAATCTACATTGAGAAAAAACTCCAATATCCGAAACATATTTACTTGAAAATAAATAACAAGTAATTTTTCTTCAATCGTTTTAAGGGGAGACTATTATGAGTTTTAAAAGTCACGGACTATTGGAATCAGATTACTCATACATTGAAGATCGAGTATATATGTTTAGAAATGAATAATTGGCGCAAAAAATCAATTGTTTATTGTTTGTTTGCCTCACAGACGCTTAAAAATGTTAAAAATAGTCCAGGGCCTCCAGTTTTTGAGCTACAGAGGTTTTTTTTAAAAGTTTCTAAAAAATATGTGCAATAATAGTTACGAATAAGTTTTTTGAAATTTGAGTCCTACACTGCCTATTTTGTTTTTTTGTTTAATAAAAAATTGCATCATTCATGGACAATAGGCCACAAAATATTTCTAAAAGAATCGAGAATATATTTCAAATATTTTAATCATATTTTTTTTGTCTATTTTACATGAATGGCGCAAATTTTTATATGAAACAAAACGAAATTAGCTGCGTAGAAATCGAAATTCAAAAAACTAATTCGTTATTGTTATTGTACACATTTTTTTTTTTTAATTTTGAGAAATAAAACTTCTGTAGCTGAAAAATTGGAGGTCCTGGACTATTTTTATCATTTCAAGCGTGTGCGAATCAAGCGAACAATAAACAATTAATTTTTTTGCACTAATTATTCGTTTTTAGACATATATAATCGATCTTCAATGCATGGGGAACCTCATTTCAATCGCCCGTGACTTTGAAAACTTATAGTAGTCTTTCCTTAAGAAGAGGTTCACCCCGAACAAAAAATTGTACGTTTTCCGATTTTGCGATTTTGTAGGTCAAATTTGTTTCCGACGGTTAAAAATGAGAGATTCAATTTTTTTAATTTGAAAATCAACTTTCAAAAAAAATCCAACGTATTTTTTTTACAGTTTTTTCAATATGATCACAAATTGTCGCTCCCCAATTATGAAAATTGTGAGAGACGATACATTTGTAAATTTATTGGTCAATCAAAAAAAGTATTTACATAGAGTGAGCATTCATAAATGAAATTTATACATAATATTTGGACAAGAATTTTTTTTTTGAGATGTTAATAGAAATTTTGATTACCGAATAAATTCCAAAATGCATCTTCTCCCGCATTTTTCATATTTAAGGAGCGAAAATTGCAGATCATATTCAAAAATTATTTCGAAAAAAATAAGTTGGGGATTTTTGTTAAGTTGATTTTTCGATTAAAAAACATTCGACGCACTAATTTTGAGTGGCCACAGACAATTTTGATCGATAATGTCAGATTCCTGGGAAAAAATCACGCGGAAAATAGTATTTGAATTTTTTTTTCTCTAAAAACGAAAAAGTTTTTTCTCGGGGTAAGCCTCCCCTTAATTCTCCCAAGCATCTCAACTCATGTGACCCGAGAAAGGTCTTATGCTTTAAAATATTCTTCTACTCAAGTATAATTTTTTCGCAAATGAACTATTTCAAGTCGCATAGAAGATCCATCAATCTTCAAGTATTTATTTTATTCACGATTTTTTGTATGCACTTTCAATGTTTCGGTATGTAATATATTCATGATGCAACGCGAAACGATAGTGATAAACGAGAATTTTTTCGAGTTCCGTGAAGCGCAAACATTCAGTCCTCTCAAGCAAATATGGTCTACATATTAGGAAATTTTTCTCTCAGTGTACTCATTGTAAGTCGTTCCTGTTAACTTGGATCAAGTACTCCCAAAAAATGGCTAGTGGCATCCGAAACTAGGTTGAGGTAGAGCTTGCCACGCGATTCGAGGAGAGTTCGAGTTTATTTATTGAGGCTTGATTTTTCACAGCAAAAATAGCATTTTTTTTTAATTAAGGGTTGTCCAACGGTTACACTGAAAAAAATTTATATTTTTGCCAAATATTCATTTACGTGAGAGAAGCATTTATTTTTTCAGAATCGTATTTCTCCACTCGAGTCACTCCCAGGTGAGCCTGATTAGGTTTCAATTATGACAATCATGTTGCTCTGGAGGATGACTATGTTGAACATGACCTTGGATGAACTTCTCCAATGATTATTCACTTTTCCTAAATTTCTTATTTTCTACAGGGAAGAATTTCGATTAATTTTTCAATGTTTATAATTATTGAGGGAGGCCGTTCAAGGTTATAATAATTGTCATAATTGAAACCTAATGAGAATTGCGTGCGAATGACTCGACTGGAGAAATACGGCAGTGAAAGAATAAATATTGCCCTCAAGTAAATGGATATTTGGCAAAAATGATATTTCTTCTCAGTGGATTAAATTAGAATTAAATGACAAAATACCTTTAATTCATCCTTGTCAACAATATGAGTGCTATTAAATACGCACGTCGCTTTTCCACTCAAGTCGTGATTTTTCTTGCACCTCACCAGATGAAATATCAATCGACTCTTGAGAATATGATGACTTTTGTCCAATGGACAAGTAACCATAGGATCTCCTGTATCAGCCATCTGCAAGATTAAACAAAATAACCCTGAGTCATCCAACGTTTTTCAATTTTTATTCTGTGTAGTTATTGTTTTTTTTAAAATCAGTTATAAGAGCTGTTCATTTACCTTCAAAAGAATTGATGGAATTGATTTTCTGCTCTAGACAGCACGGAAACGCGCGCGAAGCTCTCGAGACACTGACTATGCAGCTGACTGCTCAGTGCAGACTGCACAAGACTGCACCTGAGTATGTCTCGCGTCCCAACCGTAACCAAAATTTTTCCATTCATTTACCTTGGCAAATACGATTGTTTGCCCTCTGAAAGAATGGTAGACCTCCATGAGTGTAATGAGGATAAAACATACTTTCTTCTCTCTCGCACCTATACTTTATACAGCCCCACAGAATCCACGGAGAGAAATTTTTTAGAAAAATTCTAGCGTTAGCACGGGAAAAGAGGCGCAAAGTAACGGCCAGGAAAAATTCCAGTACCAGCACTAGAAATTTTATTGGGGAAAACGTGAATTTTTCCCCGTATTTTTGTGGAAATTTCACAGAATTCCCCAGAAATTTTACCTTAACAGCCCTAGAATTTTTCCCAGACGGTGGATTGTAATTTTTTTCAATACTTGCAGTAGAACTTTTCTAGAAAATTTCTCTGTGTAGTTCTTAAGGCTACCGTTTTCGACACTATAATAACAGGATCTCCCCCCTCTCTAACCTATTCGCCCCCCTCCTAAATTCTTAGTTTGAATGCACTTGAATGCCTACCCGATATACAAGAGATACACTGACGGATTCGTTCATTGTTAGAACTAGACTAAACGAACTAGTTTGTCTATAGAAATGCATATAAGATACCTGTAAAAATTGGAACTAGAACTACGCACTAGAAATTAATAATATATAGCTAACCTAGGGAGGTAAAATGAAGTAGTCGTGTCCACGTGCGGAATTACCACCCGAGCCGAAGGCGAGGGTCATAAGCACGTAGGTAACGGTCCTTTATTTTATCTCCCGTGGTTAGAACGCCATTTTTCGCCTCGACGTAGGCGCAAAGTCAGATTTCTCTCCTGTGAAGGGGGTGTAGAAATGGGTACTTCGCATCCGCCGGGCCGAAAAAAATGTATCGATCGATAGTAATTGAAATAACATTTCAGAATTGTTTCTCTCGAACAAAATATCAATGATGAAAAATAAGAAATATGCAGGATGTTTCAGAACAATTTTTGATGCTTTTTATGGATAGACTCGTAGAAAGTTCTGAAGAGATAATTCGAAATATTTTGGAAAAAATCCTGGGTAAAATCCTGGAAATATCTAGGACTCATGGGAAAAATTCTTCGAAAAATCCTGGTGGGGCACCTGGAAAATGTCCATCCAGGAGGAAAGGACTCCTGGGAAATGTTCTGGGTAAAATCCCGGTGGGATTCCATGAAAATGATCTGGAAAGAGTCCTGGTAGAATCATCCTAAATTTTCAAACCCCTAGATCCGACTGAAGGGTTTTTTCTGTGAGGGAAAATATTCAAATAAATGGCGTCATCAAAACGACTATCTCCCGGNGGGGGGGGGGGGGGGGGGTTATCACATGCTTCCCACACACCTTCTAATTATTACACCCCTGGATCCGAGTTTAAAGGGAATTTTCTGTCAGGGACCTCCAGTGGAAATTTCGCTCAGGTTTCTTAGTGTAAATCACTTTTAAATCCAATACTGGTCAAGATTGCTTGATCGGAGGTTATCTGGATCCCGTATGGCTCAGTCACTTCTGTTTCTATCCTGATTGGTCAAAGCTGATCAAATTAGACTATACATTCCTGGTCCACTTCGGATCCTTCAATGTTTTACTATAACATTAACAACGAAAGAAAATGAAAATACTCCTTTTTCCAGCTCAAATTACTTATGAGAGGCAAAAAAAGGGGAAGTCCATTTTCAAAGACAAGCAAATGGAGGCATTGGGAACTGCCCTAAATAATGCTCGAAGTTGAGATAAGAATAAGGAGCAAGCTGAAGATGAGAACGATGGAGAGGCAAGCATAAGGGAATGAATTCCAACAAAAATTGCTTAAAGAGTTGTTTCGTCGCCAACGAAAAAGAGCAAAAATTACATTTCATTAAAATTTATTTATTGTTCATTTTGTCAATATTTTTTTGTGTCTTTAAGCCAATATAACGATAGACAGACGATGAAGAGAGTTGAAAGGTCTAATGAAGTAATATTCGAATCATAAATAACTGGGAAATCCCCTGATCCTACAATTGAACGAACTATAGCACGTTCCAGCAATTGAAGAAAAGGTCTGGGTCCACTCATTCCTTTTTTTTTTTTTGAAGAAAGACCTTTCCCACGTAAATGTTGGCAATTTCAGGTCGCTAGTCCCGAGTAATAAACACTCGGATTCACGACTGAAACCCAAAAGGAGGCCCCAAAATTATTTTATTATTCGACATTGCTTTTACTCTCAAGGGTCTGCTGCTTCCTAGCTCTCGCTAGGGACTGGGAAGGATCCAAACAAACGTTACAAATCTGATCCAAAACCTGTTTTTACTAATCAGTTCTTTATTTCAGGGTGATTTGAATTTCCACCCGGGAGGATATCCTAATAAATTATGTTATCAAAACGACTATCTCTAGGAGTCTTATCACACGCCCCCTACACATTCCTAAATTTTCAAACCCTTAGATCCGATTGAAGTGGGTTTCTCTGCCAGGAAAATTACTTAAGCAAATGGCGCCATCAAAATTGATATTCCTAGGGGTGTATTAATGCTCTCTTAGTCATTGGTTGCTTAATAGGTATCAAGGGTCATTGGGAGAGTAATTATAGAAAATTAATTACACGAGCTTCGGAATTTCTTCCCTTATCATAACCGTTTCACGGACTAGTCTCTTTCATACCTTTTGATTAATAATCATAAAAATATTAAATGGATAATTCTTCCAGGTTTTTCATTTTTTTGCTACTTATCAGTGACTCAGCTATTAAATTTACGACTAATGACATTTACAATTCCGGGAATTCTGGGAAATTACTTGTGCGATCCAAAGATTCCCGAGAGTTTCAAATAGTTGTGAGTTAGATAACGATCCAGGGCCTTAATTTATTAATGAAGAGATAAAGAAGTTAATCAATGAAAGATTAATTTCGCGTTTGTAGATACAGATTTTTGTTGTTTTTTGGGTCGGTTTATGGTGAGTTTTGTTATTAGTTTATTTATTGTGTTATTAAAGGAATCTTATAAATTTAACTTTATGGATCCGATTCTCGCGGCGTGGGGCGAGATATTAACGAGTTGTGCGATTATTGTTTGAGGATTTCACCCTTCGTTTAATTCATCGAAGAAATGTGTAGGTGCAGTTGAAATACTGCCGCTTACTAGGTGGATTAATTCGGGGGAGATAGGCTACTGTCGGTGTCAAAAGTAGAGACCACTCGAAATAAACGTCTATAACTCGACGAAAAAAAATTGTAAAAATATGGGACCAATTGCACTGTGTAATATAAATATTTCACTCGCCCAACACGAAGTTTCAAGTTTTTAATTTGATTAGTTTCTTTATAATCGGTGTGAGAAGCCGAAAAACCCCTCGATTTTCAAGGTCCGTACAAGTCGGCAGACTTTGAACCGCTACCATACATAAGAAATTTTTTTTTTTAAATCGTCAATTTTTCCATAGATTCGTTGAACCCATTGGAAGCCATCGAGAGAAGAAAAACTCAATATTGTAATAATTATTTATTTAATTAATAGACATGTCGACTGCGGCTATCTCGTTGTAGAATTGCCGAACCGACCTAAAAAAAGAAAGGTGCATTCTGAATTCAATGTAAAACACATTCGCTCAATATTTTTCTAATAAACAATCTCCGTTGATTTAAAAAAAAATCGAGAAAATTCGTCAAAAAAAGTGCTGTTAAAAAATGCTGTTTATGGGCCCGCTCACCGTCGGTCCCTCAAAATTGAAAACACATGTGCGCCTGCCTACCTCTTGGCTATGGAATACTATGAAATAGTATCACTATTTGCCAATAATAGCACTACATATGAAGTATGTAGTCGATGTTCAATCCCAAATGGCGGAATGAAAGCACAGTATGACGAATGCCTAAAATTTTCCAACTATGGAATGCATTTACTGTAGATATAAATTTATTCTGACGGGTCTTTTGACTAACAGGGCCGAGAGTCCATTCACTTGGAAATCCGATGACACCGTGATTGCTGGTTTCATGTGATTTCAGAGAGATTTCCATGATTTAATGCAATCATTGATTTCATGTGATCGCCTGGGATTTTTTGGTGATTTCGCGGTTGCAAATGATTTTAATTTTTCGATTTCATCTATTTGCCAAGGAGTGGGGAATGGCGTAGGGGCTAATGGGGGTAGAACCCGGAGGAAAAGAAATGCAGCATATTAATGCAAGAAGGATTAAACATGAAAGCAGGAAAACATGAAAGGGGGTAAATGGAGGGATGAAACCATCAAGGTGAAGTCATGAGAATCAAATATATAAATTTTTTTCATTCATTCGATAAAATATCGAGATACGCGGCAGCGTATAGGCCAAGAAAAAGTTTTGACTCTGACTGTACAAAACTGGCCGAACGCTGCCGTGTATCTATACACGAAGCAACTACTCCCTCCACTACCTGCGACTCATATCCATTAAATAAAATATAAATGTGACAAGCTACATAAAAAATAATCTTAGTTATATTATATAAATCGACCACAACTTTCTCATTGATCTAACAATTTTTTTATTCCAATCAATATTTAAAAAATTACGCGCATAGCAACGGGTTCACATACACATTCTGCTATTTCACATTATCTCCTATCATTTTTTTGCTACGCAGTTGGTAGCACTGCAATACAGCCACACACACCAAGGAAGGAGTCCGGGAATTTACAAATTGAATTTGGTGCATAAACGATGAATTCCACATTTTTCAATTGGGTTCCGTGCATAAATAAATTTTGGAAGAAGCAAATTAAGTCGGAAAATCTGGAATAAGTAATTAAAAGTCGGTGGAAATGATGACTGTGAAGTGCAATTATTTGTTTTGCTTCGATTGTTGATTGAAAAGATGATTTATCGTGTGAAAAATAAATGAGCCGAATTGAATTGGAAATAAAAAAATTTATAGGATATAAAAACAATTCCTTGGTTATTTTGAAA